CCTGTGCCCAGATTTCTTGGTTCTGTTGCTCTTGTGGAGCTCCTGTCCCTTCCAGGTCTTTCATCTTCCCTTTCTTTTATTCCCTGATTCTGCCCAAAGTTTGGCTGTGAGTCTGCTTTAATACCCTCCTGGATAGAGTCTTTCAGAGGCCCTCTGTGGTAGGCTCCTGTCCTGTTCCCTGTTTTCTCCCATTTGCCTTTCTGAATGAGGATTGATCATCTTACCCAGGGTCCTCCTCCTCACTTAGCTTCTTTAGGTGTACAGATTTTAGTATGTTTATCCTATATCATATATCTAATATCCACTTATAAGTGAGTATATGCCATGTGTATCTTTCTGCTTCTGAGATACCTCACACAGGATGATCTTTTCTAGTTCCCACCATTTGCCTGCAAATTTCATGATGTCCTTGTTTTTAATTGCTGAGTTGTATTCCATTGTGTAACTGTACAATTTCTGTATCCATTCCTCAACTGAGGGGCATTTGGGTTGCTTCCAGATTTTGGCTATTATGAATAAAGCTGCTATGAACATGACTAAATGTCCTTGTTGTATACTTGAGCATATTTTGGATATTTGCCTAGGATTAGGATAGCTGGATCTTGAGGTAGCACTATGCCTAATTTTCTTAGAAAATGCCAGATTGATTTCCAGACTGGTAATACAAGTTTACATTCCCACCAGCAATGGAGGAGGGTTATCCTTTCTCCACATCCTCTCCAAGCATATGTTGAGTTTTTGATTTTAGTCATTCTGATGGGTGTAAGGTGAAATCTCAGGGTTGTTTTGATTTGCATTTCACTGGTGACTAAGGATATTAAATATTTATTGTTTCTCTACCATTTGATATTTCTCTATTGAGAATTCTCTCTTTAGCTCTGTACCCCATTTTTAAGTGGATTACTTGATTTGTTGCTTTTTAACTTCCCTAGTTTTTTATATATTCTGGATATTAGCCCTCTATTCCAGACTGCTTTACTGATCGATCTAGGCTCTTGCATATATTAACATTTGGGAAGTACTGTAACGAACACTGGCGTGTAGGTCTCTCTTTGATGTACTGAGTTCATTTCTGTTGGATGTAGATCCAGAAGCAGCACTGCTGAGTCATAGAATACATTTATTAAGTTTTTGAGTATCTGCCACCTATTGTCTATAATTGCTGTGCACTTTACCATACCCCTGACTTCTGTGAGCCCTCCTGAGTTGATTGCATGCTGGAATCTTTGCTGTAGACTGAACTGTACACCAGCACCACAGTGGTGTACCCAGCAAACAGACTGTCCTGGGACAGAGAAGCTTGCTGCCTTCCATCCGGCAGCTCAGATGAGGTCTGACGCTTATAGGTTGATGTTACTGAAAGTGCATGTCTGCTGGGGCTTCCCATGTACTGTTCCTGCCCTGAGTCCAAGCAATGGTCCAAGATGAAATACCTAGGCCTTGGCAAGACAGGGTGTGGGGTCATATGGGTGGAGAAGAAAAGGCAGACTCAGCTGTCATTATACTGGGCCTAGTATCTGGCTCCTTCCAAATGATACCTTTTTCTTTATCAAGAGATTTACTACAAACCAACCAACCAAACAAACAAATAAAAAAGGCCACAGTGATTAAATATTTATCTCTTTGATCCCGGACAAGGAATTGAGCATCACTTTAGGAAAGAGATTTTAAGAGCCTGGATGTAGGAACTCTCACAAGACCCCACCCCTATACGAAGGACTGCAGGCAATTAATGGATGCTGAAAGAGGGAGAATCAGTCTTCTCTAGGAGTGAGCTTCCTGTTAGGTCATCTAACCCTAAGAATCAGCCCTCAACACATGAACATATGAGCAGCTCTGAATGGACTCAGCAGCTTGCATTATAAATACATATATATTATACACATGGATATATGTGAATATGTATTCATATAATATAACTGGTAAGTATTCATGAAGTTGAGAAGAACTGGAGGAGGCATAGAAGGAGTAGATGGGGGAGGAGGAGGGTAGAAAAGATGTAATTGCACTACTCAAGCAATTCTCAAAAAATTGCAAACTTAAAACATTGTCCATGCTGAAGGACTATTTTAAGAATCAGACCCACAGAGCTTGGAACAGGGCCTGGCCTAGAGAACTTCAGTGGGTGACAGCCAGGCACCAATCAAGTATAAGCAGAAAAACTCTAACATCTAGAAAAAAATTGCCATTTATGAAGGAAGTGTGGCATGTGATTTTAGAAGGACACAGGTGCACAGAAAAGTTTTCTGATATTTCTTTGAGGTGGGGGTCTCACTGGGTAGCTGTGCTGGCTTCACACGTGCAGGAGCCCTGCCTCAGCCTCCCGAGCGCTGGGATTACTGATTGTTAGCAGCCACAGCTGCTTGCATTGATTCATCTCCTCTTTTTATGTTGATTTTATGCTGCATTTCCATTATTCCCACCTGCACTTTTCTCCATGTTCCCTTGATCCCGTTCAGCATCACAGCTTCTTCTTTATAATTACACCACACACACACACACACACACACACACCCTACTGAGTTTATCTATTGTTGCCTGTTATGAGTGTTAAGCATGACCAGTTGGGATTACACGACCTGTCAGGAGGCTTGTCCCTGGAGAATATTCGTTTTCCCTTTCTCCATAGCCGTGTCGTGATTTCTGACTTAGGCGCGAGGAAAGCTGAAGCACACGAGGAGGGGGACACTTGCAGCTGAAGTTAGGAAGCATTCTGCTGGAGTCGGGATTTGAAATTAGACAGTCTACTTCTAGGTTCCATGCTGCTAACAACTGAGCCCAAAGAAATTAGTTTCTGCTCTAATCCTCAGTTCCCAACACGCAAATACAGTGTGATTTGTAGCACCTGACTGGGTGTCCTGAATCTCTGACTCCAGCAAACACGCGCGTGGAGTCAAAGGGTCCCTCACTGTTTACAGATGTGTAAACCCGTATCTACGTCCCTGTGCTCTCGTTTTATCTACTCGCAGCTAATTGTTCTAGCTTCAGGTAACTGATGGCAAAATGTTAATTCTCAGACCATAGTTCCTCACAAAATGCCATTGATTTTTGTTACTTTGTTTTGCTAAACATTTTGGATCAGAATTTAAGTTTTAGAAAAGGCAACTTAGGTTTTGGTTGGCTTCTCATGACAGTTACAAATTAGTGGAGTTCTTTTCAAGGAAGATGATGGCATATCTATTTTGATAATTCTTTTTTTCTTTATTAATTACACTTTATTCACTTTGTACCCCCCCTGTGGTTCCCTCCCTCCTCCTGTCCCAATCCCTCCCTTCCTCCACCCTCTGCATGCATGCCCCTCCCCAAGTCCACTGATAAGGGAGGTGATAATTCTTATATATAAAATTTTAGAAGTTAAGAAAAACTAATTTAAATCTGTATGTGAATTGCCAGAACAAATATTGATATTGTATCACATTGCGGTGGACCCAGATTTAGTTTCCCACACCCAAGTGCTGGGGTGGCTCACAACTGCCTGCAATCCTGATCCAGGGGAATCTGACAGCTCTGGCCTCTAGGGACACCACACTCATACACACATATTCATACACAGAAACATTTACCTGTGTGTGTGTGTGTCTGTCTGTGTGCATGAATGTGTGTATACGTGTGTCTCTGTGTATGTCTGTCTGTGTCTCCGTGTGTATGGCTATGTGAACACACTTCCTCCAACAAGGCCACAGCTACTCCAAGAGGCCACACCTCCTCATAGTGCCTATGGACCTATAGAGGCCACCACACTGTTCTTGCAGAGGACCCAAGTCCAGTTCCTAGAAGCTGCATTGGATAGTTTGAAGCCACCTGTAACTACCTGCAACTAGGAAAAAAAAAAACCCAAAACAACAGTGTGTGTGTGTGTGTGTGTGTGAGAGAGAGAGAGAGAGAGAGAGAGAGAGACAGAGACAGAGAGAGAGAAAGACTGGGAGACTGACAGATTGAGAGGGTGATTGTTTTTGTTAAATGGTACAAACCTAACACAGCCCAGTCAATCGTCAATATTAATAAATAACTCCTGGAGAGAGTACATTTTTCTAGGGCTCTACCTGCCTGGCATGGTCCAAACAGCTGAAACCTGTCCCCTCTCACACAGTCTTACAGTAATTAAAGCATATTTATATCTAGATTCAAAGGGCTGCTGTGGTTTCTTTTCACCCAGCCACCAATTTCCGAGTTGAGACAATGTGTTTTTTTGTTGTTTACTTATACGTATGTCTCCTATTCACATAGGTACCTTCAGAAATGAGAAGAGGGCATGGCTCCCTTGGAGTTGGAGTTATTATTGCTGGCTGTGAGGCGGCTGGAGTGGGTGCAGGGCACTGAACTTGGGTTCTCTGGAAAGAAGACAGTTCCTCTAAACCGTGTAGCAGTCTCCACTGGACCGCCCATCCACCCCCCGTTTATTTTCTCAAGCAGCCCCGCTATCAGAATATACTACCTTTAGGACCATGTAGAGGGATCTTGGAATACAAATATTGCATTGAAACGTGAGCTTATCACACATCTTAATTATACTCCTTCGTTCTGTTCAGACAGAAACTGTCACAGAGAAATTTAGCAGAGGATCCGGTGACCTTGCTTTCCTACTCAACCATTATGGCTTGTCGAGCTCAGTGTTAGGATTTGAAGAGGAACAAGTTTGAGAGAAATATGTTTCTGCACAGTGACATGCTTCCTCGCACTGGTGTGTCAATCAGATCGTGAGGAAACCCCACCTCAGGCAGGCGGTAGACCTCTGCCCTGCCCCCATTCAGGTCTACCTTTCAACTGTGACCTCATCACTGACACCATATCCCCTAAAGATTCTCCAAGGCAGGGGCAGCTGCCCCAGCTATGGGAGCCAGGTGGCTGTAGGGCGGTGGCGTCTGCAGGACGTAGGTGAAAGGACATCAACTGGACACCTACTGGTCCCTGCGCCCAGGTCTGCTCGGAACCACATCACAGCTTCCGCAGGTGTGGACTCCGCTGTGCCCTCCGGTAGCGCTGCATCCTCTTCAGGAACTATGGCACGGGCTAGGGAGGAAGCAGGGGACAGCCAGCTGGTGTCTGGTAGGGAGCCATCCTCACGTATCATCAGAGTGACTGTCAAGACGCCACGGGACAGCAAGGAATTCTGGCTGGCAGAAAATAGCAACGTCCTCCGCTTTAAGAAACAAATCTCCAAATACCTTCACTGTGATACTGACCGATTGGTGCTCATCTTCACTGGGAAGATCCTCCAGGATCAAGACATACTGAGCCAGCGCGGCGTTCTTGATGGCTCTACAGTCCACGTGGTAGTGAGGACTCGCTTGAAAGGGTCAGCCTGCACACGGACTCTGGCAGGCCCCACAGGCCACAGGACCCACCGTTCAGAACCACTGGCCTCTGACAGTGCTAGGGTGCTAGCCAGGCTGGGTCGCCTGGCCCGGCGCTCACCTGACCTAGCTGATTTCTTCAGCCAGCTTGTCCAGCTGCTGACATCAGCACCAGAGTCTTTGGTGAAATTCTTGGAAGATCCTCTGATTCAAGGATTGGCAAATGCGAAACAAGCCAATGGCATGCGCCTTCCGGAATCCTCAAAGAAGACACAGAAACGAGACTCGGAAACCTTTCAGAAGCCTGCGCGACAGCAGGAGGTCCTGCAGAAACACAAGCACAGGCTAGCAGCCCCGAAAGCTGTGCCAGGAGGCGACAACGCTATGCGTCCCGGATTCTCTGATATCCAGCAGATCATGCTCTCCACTCTGGCCTTATTGGCGGCCTCTAAAGGCCACCTTCCAGGCTCAGAGCTGTGTAGAGGGGAAGCCAACAACGCTCACTGCAGTTCTGATCCTACCGTAACCTCTGCTCCCGTCAGGACCTTGGCACAGGAGGTTAGTACAGGAGGAGTTACCCAGGTCAAGGGCATAGTTTCAAGTCAGGCGAGTTCACGGTGCCGACCTGGTACACTAGACTTACAACCAGATGCAGATCTCCCCTCCCAAGAGAGCCTGCAGCCGGTGGAGAAAGACCCTGTAAGCAGTCAGCTCTCGCTGCTTGTCCTGTGCCGAGCGGTGAACGTCCTGCAGCAGATTTCAGTTCTGCTCCACCAGCTGGCAACTGGCAGCCCCCTGCTCCATCATATACCACTTCTCCCCGCCCTCACCAACCCTCGGGTGCTGCAGGCGTTGCTACAGATAGAACAAGGCCTACAGACGCTGTCCAGGGAGGTGCCTGAGCTGGGACTCTTCTTGAGAGGTTCAGCTAAACCACGTGGGGCTAGAGGAGTCTCAGAAACCAGGGGAAGAAGACAAGCCCACAGAGAAGACGCCACGCAACACTCCTTGGCTCTTGAGCTCTTCCGGTCCTCGGCCAACACCTGTTCCCATTCTACCCAGAGCGAGCTGTCCTCCAACCTCCTCACCGAAAGTGACTACCAGCATGAACTGCAGCAGCTGGAGGCCTTGGGCTTTTCCAACCGCGATGCAAACCTGCAGGCACTGATAGCCATGGATGGAGATATCCGCGCTGCCATTGAGATGCTTCTAGGGGATCCGCAGGTCTAGTCTCTCCAGTGAATGCCCACGATTGCACCATTCTGTGGAGAGGGAGGAAGAAGGGGAAGGAGAAGGCACTTATTTTAGGAATTCCTCCTCCTTGGGTTATGAGCACATTTGGGTAGCCCCTCTCTCACTGCCCAAACCTGTTCTACATTAAAGAAGATTGCTTGGAGCTCCTCCGTGTTGTAGAGTTGAGACTGGATGGGCACCACAGTCATGTGTCGGAAGGGACCTGTAATGCTCTGAGACTGCGCTTTACTCATTTCCATGTCTCTGAGCTAAGGGTCCCTTTACATTTCAAATGTACACAGGGCTGGGGAAAGCCTCAGTGGGTATCGGGTGAAGTGCCTCCTGCGCAAGCATGAAGACTGAGGCTCAGATCCCTAGCATCCATGTTCAAGCTGGGTAGAGTAGTGCATCTCTGACCCAAGCTCGAGGCAGAGGGGTGGGGAAACAGGAAGCTATTTGGAGCTCACTGAGCAGCCAAGCGTAGCCAAGCAATGGTCTCTATGTTCAGTGTCAAGATACAAGGTGGAAAGTAGTGGAGAAGATACCTGATGCCAACCTCTGCCCTACGCCTGTGCGCGCGCGCTCACACACACAGTCACTCACTCAAACACTCACATATACACAGACACACACACAAGAACAGGGCGAACACATCCTGACAGTTTTGACGTTTTTGCCTTTGCCAGCATGGCCATCACCTCTATTGGCTCCTTCCTTAGTGACAGAATCCTAGGTGTTACTCTCTCAAGAAATCAGGATTTAAGACTTCTCAGAACCAGGCCTCTGCTCACATGCTTCTCTGTCTAGAGCCCTTTTGCTTTTTACCTTCCCTCTGAGCTATAGTTCGTCCTTTGTTACCTGCCTATTTCTAGCCTCCTGTTCTGTGAGGCTAACCTCTGGCAGAAGCACCACCTTTCCTCCACAGAATGCTTTCTTCCTTGCCTCTGCTGCCCTATTAGATACCAGGTTATTTCTGCAGTGCTTGGGCAATTCTTTTTTTCATTCATTCATTCATTTATTTATTGATTTACTTAAGCACTTCAGAGCCCAATCAAAGCCCTCCCCCTCCTTTCCTCTCAGTCCTATCCTCATGCTCCCTTCTCCCAGGGGCAAATTTTTATGAACATCTGCAGTCAGGGAGTTACCCCAATAAGATACAGGAACTTTTTAAAAACTGTATTTTTTTTTTCAAATTGTGTTTATAGTTTGACCTATAGAGTCCCGTTTCTTTTTTGAATGTACTTCCTTTAGTCATCTTTAAGAACTCAACTCTTTAAAAGTGCTTTAATAGTGAAATATGTTATACCGAATCTTTTAAAATTTATCTCTCAGAGGTTTGACCCTTTTCATAACTAAAGTTCTGGTTCTTTCGTATTCATGGCTTCTAAGTTTCTAATAGTTGTGACTTCATATTTTCTATAGCCCCTGGCCTTGTCTTTGGGAGTGCTAGGGGTGTCTATGGCTCAGAATTTCCAAATGTGGGTTAGTATCTTTCCCCTGACTCATTCCCACTCTGAATCCACATTTTATGCCCTGTATATTAATACAGTAACCCACGACTTCCCAATGTACTTTCACACTATGGAAGCGTACATATTTTAAGTTAATTATTTCTCCTTTATAGGCTTAAAATAAACAGGCTACATTTTCCTAACCGCTTAATTTTGAAGTCATTCTTTGTTGTCTTCCATTTCCATGTTGTTCTCACCTGGATATATGGCTTTGAGCATCATGATGATTTACATGCTCATATTTGTAGGCTAGATGCTTTCTTTGGATCTCAAAATAGGATAGTCAAACTGTGGGAGCTTTCAGTGTGATGTGCTACAAATAAGGAGCACAAAATTTTAAAAATAATTCTATTTGTTCTTGTGATAAGTATATAGCCATCTTGGGATTGGGTTGTTTTCTGAGCTGTTTCTCTCTAAATGAGATTTTAAACTTCTGAAGAATCAGAAAGATGCTATTCATTGCCTTGTCACAAGACAAGGCTCACATCTGTTATCTTCTGAAGACCTCTTCTTTTTCTTTTTTTCTCATTTTCCGAAAAAGAGGAAAGAAGGGAAAGAGGTAGTGAGAGGATGGAGGCGAAAGAGGAAGAGGAGGAGGAGAAGGAGAAGGAGGAAATAAGAAAGAAACAACAACAAAAAGAAAAGAGCAAATCCATCTTTTCTAACCAAATAACTTACAGGCTTGTATGTGCCCTTAATACTCCAGCCCAACCTTCCTCCCTTTCCCATCTCTCATTTGTAGAGGAATTTTAGCTCAGAACATGAATGTTCTGGCAAGAGATCACATGCAAACATTTTCCAGTTCTCTGTGATCTGGCTAGAGTACAAACACGCCTTTAATCCAGAAGACAGAAGCAAGCAGATCTGAGTTCAAGGCCAGCCTGGTATCGAGCAAGTTTCAGGTAAAGAAAAGCTTATATCCAGGAATGGTGGTATAGGCCTTTAATCCCAAACAATGAAGGTAAAGTTAGTTTGTAGAAGGAAGCACCCATGTTTGAAAACGATGTCTAATTGAGTGGCAGAAAAGGTGATAAGTCAGAGAAAGAGTTAAGAGAATATGATATGCCCAACAGAATATGATATGAGAAGAGAGAGGAAAGGGAAGCCACTTAAGGGTCAATGAAAAGAGAGAGGCAGTTTACTAGGACAGTAATAGAAAGATGGATTGCAGAGAACAGAGGTGAAGATGGAATGAGCCAGAGAATAAGAAGGAGCCAGAAGTTTAGAGTTGATTGCTATAGTTTGAGGCCAAGCAGAGCACTTCAGATCCCAAAAGAAGCCAGATTGAATAAGTTAGCTAAAAGAGGAGTTTAACCCAGAACAGCCGAGTTGATCCAGCCAGTAATGAGTTCAGTAAGAGATAGAAAGGGTGAGCTTATTAAGCAGTAAGTCTCGGGCTAAAAACATTCTAGGGCTAGGTTAGATTGTACGGAGGCTAGAAGATTCCAGGACTAGGACTAGGTCAGCAGACAGAGGCAGTAACCATCTGAGACAACAATTGAAACAGGAGAATAAAAGTTCTTTTTACACTCATTAATCTGCTAAAACTCTGAGAGTGTTTCAAAACTGGGCTTTGAATCTGACCACTTTAAAAATATCACCCACATTGTTGCTATGCTATCTAAATTCACTACTGTGAAATTAAATAACAGGTTCATTTCCTAAAGAGAATGAGCTTAATAGATAACTGCAGAGCACTGCAGTGGGGGATTTAGTTGCCTTTGTAAATTATGGGTGTATTGAAAGAAACATAAGCGAGTGTTCTCAAAGGTAGAACGAGAATCAGACAGTTGTTTTGAAACAAAGAAAACACTGGTTAAAGGAGCTATATTGGCTTCAGCCCATCAGTGGAGACTATCATCAGGTAAGTGTTTTGCACTGGGATAACCGTCTTTGTGATTCACGTAGCCAGGTGCACTTTGGGAAGTTTTGGTAAAAGCTTTGGTTACAAGCATATGTGCCTAAGAGCCTTTCGTGGAATTGGTCTTATCTCCTTATCATAGACCTGTGTGTGCAGAGGGCTGCTCACTTCGACTCCCCTACTGTACTTTGTTCAGGTATGACACGCAGTTTCATTTGAGTGTTGACGATATTCACACTAGTATTTCAAACATGAATCTTGTCACTACTCTTTCCTCCCCATCCGGTCTTTACGCTCAGCATAACAACCATACTGACCCTTTATACACAGAGACAAATTATATAGAATTATAAAGGCAATGAACAAGCACAGAAAATACCTGCTTTCCCCACAGTTACCCTTTGTGATTGACAGAGATGTAGGGGGCAAACAGCATCTTTCTGCATCTCCAGAAGTTTAGAATTTCATTTCCAGAAGAACAGCTCAGAAAACAACTAAATTACAGTGACTGTTTATTGATATTTACTATTGGTTTATCTTCTTGTAAAGCTTGCTGTTAATCTTAAACAGCTGTATAACCAAATCACCACACAGAGACTGGGTTTTTAGTTAACCTAGAACACAATGCTGGGCAATATTTACTCCCTCCTAAACCTCCAAGCCCTCAGTTTCCTAACATTTAGATTTCCCACATTATACTTGCTTTTTGTGAAATCTTAGGTCTGGTTCATGCTCCACGTCCTCCAAGATCTCTCCTCCAAGATCTCCCCTCCAGCTCTGCTCTCCTCGCTCTTCCTTCGCCCCTTCTCCTCCCACTCATCTCCTGCCTTCTCTAGCTCCTCCCCTCTTTCCTGTCCTCTGGCTCTTTCCATTGCACAACATTGTATCTAGTTGCTTTATTTTGTCCTGTTTACACAAGAGTTGAGACAGGATGCTTATAATGAGTATCACAATGCAATATCCGGATTGAAACCAGAGAGTTGGGGGGGGGGGAGGGGGAAAAATCAGTATTTGAATGAAAAAGGGTAAGTGTATACATTAAAAAAAATATACCAACAATATGGCTATATATTTGTAACAAGAACAAATAGAATTATTTTTTTTTACTCTTTTCTCACACAATACATTCTAACTACAGTTTCTCCCCCCTCCATTCCTCCTAGTCTCCCTTAACGTTCCATCTCTCCATTTCCTTTTTGAAAAGAGTGAACCTCCCAGGGACATCAACTAAACACAGCACAACAAGTTACAGTAAGACTAGGCACAAACACATCAACACTGGGCGAGGCAATCCAATAGGAGGAAAAGGGACCCAAGAGCATTAAAAAGAGTCAGAGGCACATCCTTTCCCACTGTCAGGTGTCTCAAAAACACTAACAACCATAACATATATATGGAGGACCTTGTTCAGACCCACTTGGGCTCTGTGATTGCTACTTCAGCGTCTGTGAGCCCCTGTGAGCCCTGCTTAGTTGATTCTGTGGGCCATGTTCTCACAGTGTCCTTGATCCTTCTGGGTCCTAAAATTCTTCTGCTCCCTCTTCTGTGGGGTTCCCCAAGCTCTGAGGGGAGGGAACCTGATGGAAAGCCCCAATTTGGGATCTCCCTGCAAATAGAATTTTAAA